TAGAGTCGCCAAGTTTGTGAGTGGCCAGAATACTAGCCAGTCCCGTCCAGAAGGGAAAGTCCAAAAGAAAAAAATTTCGTAAATCGCGATAGAACCATTTTTAGGTGTTTTTAGGGTTCCGTACCTCAAAAGGAAAAATATAAAATCACTCACGTGTCCGTCTGTCACAGTCATTTTTCTCTGAAACCGTTTGACGTAGAAACTTGAAATTTGGCATAGTAATGAATTATATATTGACCCACATATTTTCCAAAAGTGAGCACTCAAAAATATCCACATGGAAATTTTAGGGGGAACACGTTATGGTGCCCAAAAAAATTTTTTTCAATTTCTGACTCATGTGGCATATAGTTTGAAAGGGCTAGTTGTAAGGAGCTCGAAAACATATTTACTAATATTATAAAGATATTGCTGAATCATTACCACTTTTATAATCAGAAACCTACATTATTACTATGAAATGTTTGTCAGATCAAAGTTGGCTTACAATATAATCTGCCACATCAGATCCGCCATTGTAAATTTTGGTTTTTTATAACTTGTATATTTATACTTTACATATTTATACTTTGTATATCTATAATGAGAGATAAAATAAATTTCTATACTTGACCAGTATATCTGGCCAGTCCCGTCCTCAAAAGGTTAAATTAAATTGGACACTATAGATTTAACAATGCAGTTTGCTAGAACTGGAAATTCTAAATTCACAAGAAATATTATAGGCACGAAGAACCGCCTCGGCCGAATATGGCGTTTTTCACTCGTGCGTGTTTAATATCTTTTTTGGATGTGCACTAAATATCCGCATTACGGCATGCGCCAACTCTGCGTACGGCATCGTTCAACGAGCCGCGACGATTCGCGATTTTTCTCCTCCCGCGGAACGGAGGCGGAGGGATAAACGCCCGGGCTCGTTTCTCCTTCTCGTTCTCCTCCCTTTTCCGCTTCCGCTTCCGGCACGATGCGGTACGCGCCATCCGCGCATGATTGTTAATATACCGTTTTATTAATTCACGAGAATTGTCACTGCCTCTCCCTCCCCTTCGCATGCTTTTAGGAGCGCCTTTACAAGCCTTTGTAAGGGCCTTTATGACTCTCCTCCTGACGAGATGAATCTTTAAGAATGAATTTCACTCCACGCTTGCGGGAACATCGGCACGCGGAAATTGCGGTGCCTTTTCCTAACGGCTCGTGAAATTGCTGGTAATAATAAATTAATCGCAATGTAACAAATGCAGTAGGAAATATTTGGTGTTTGTGTTAAAACCGGTCCACTCAAGTCCTTATAAAATTGTATATTTCATGCGTTTTTGACATTAACATATCTGAATGTTAATTTAACATAATGTGATTATTTGCACATTTTTAATTGATATTAAATATGTATTTAGTGTGTAAATTGCAATTAGAAAACAGCATGCCAAAAAATAATCGCGTAGATAAAATTAATTAGAATCCCTTTAAATTAACACAAAAATTTGAGCGGACCGTTTGCAACACATGTTAAATTTAACACAAATTTTCCAACTATGTACGTAATAAATCACAATATTCAGCTGTATATAAACGAGAGGACGTGAAGTACGAATGAGAATAGATATCAGTTTCCATTTGTAATAAAAAGATACGAGAAACATTAATATAAATGTCAATATGAATGGCAAAGTAAATGATAATAAGAAGCAGGAAATTATTATGGCTAGTTATCCTGAATCGGATAAAATAAAACGGATTAGTCTAATTGCCCGAAAATTTTGCGCTCTCACGTCCACATCTCGCGAGCGAACTTTACGCGAAGCGCCGCGTAAATTAAACGCATTATGATCGCAAATTCATACAATGTACTTCTGCCCAAACAATAACCGGAATGGGTTCGTTATTTTTCCACTGCGGCGGGCAGTGTTCATTTCGCCACTAGCAATCAAGTGCTCTCATTAATAAAGCATTTGGGGCATAAATTAATTATCGCCCTGGTCTGTCGTCCTCCTACACCTCCCACCTGTCCACATACAGGGAGTTTTCCGTCTGTTTTCTCTCTGCGGAATACGCCGTCTCCTCGTGCGAGTCGATCGCAATCCACTCGATTATTCCGATCTATTCGCAAAGTCGACAGTCTCTCTTTCGTGAGAGAAACACGCCGGATTACTTTTTCTACACACAGAAAAATATCTTTTTATTGTGTTAGGAAAAATACCCCCATTAACCTGGACCCACCATCGAAAATCAAATTCGCGATAGGTCAAAAATTTAGTGCTCTTTTGTTGCTAATTAGTTGCTCTAGAGCGAATTTTGTTGCTCCAACCGTTTAGCAGCAATAAAAAAAAATGGGGGGGTCCAGGTTAATATAAAGTTGGACCCCCCCATAATAAAAAAATAGATATAGAGCTGCGATATCAAAAAAACAAATGCACCAGATTTTGTTGCTTTTTTGTTGCTCTAGGATAGTGCAAAGAAATATCGAAAAAAATCACATTGTTAAACAAATTCCGATAAATAATCAAAACTACATTGTCGCGCGTCGCAACGTTATGACCAAAATTTACATGTATAGAATTTGTTACTCTACTAAGAGAAGAGATTAAGATTTCAAATAAAATCAGCTCTCATTTCAAATCATCCCCCTTATTTCCAAAAATTAGCACAGTTATTAAATCAAAACAAACCGGCAGACTCAGCCCGCGAACGCGTATATAAGAAATTAGAGATCGATTTCACGTTTCCTAACTACAAGGGCATTCGAAAAGCCGATCCACGTAGATTTGCCTATAAGCTTCGTAATCTTTTTGGCGCCGGGTTCAAAATTACTCTTCCGAATAATTATCCAATACTTCCTAGTGAACATTCTTAACTGCACAACTTGATCTCTGATCCCCGGGTAAATTACTTAAATGCATTGTCCCTAAAAACGAAAATTTCAATAGCAACGTGACGTAACAATACTGAGAAACCCATTTAGTTGAATCATTAATTTCTTGTTTGGATAATAAGCAAACAAATCGTTGGTTAAAGCAATCAAATAATTTAGTTGAAGCAAAACATTTTACTTGTTTCTGATAAACGAGTTTATCAGATGCCAATGTTTATCAGAAACAAGTAAAATTTACAATAACCAAATGTTTTGCTTTAACTAAATTATTTTATTGCGCCAAGAATTTGTTTGCCCAAACAACAAATTCATTCATTCAACTAAATGGATGTATATTTATCACAAATTTTAGAAACATTCAAAATAAGAATTTATTTTCTTTTGAGGAATATTATAAAATTGATCGAAAAAGCGACTTTGTATAACAAGCAAATCGTTGTCTTAATTTAATAATCTTGATTGAAGTATTTAACTTACTAGGATTCAGAATATTTTGAATAAATTTGTGGATATATGAACTTTTGAAATGCTTGAAACAAGTAATTATTACTTACGTACAGTATTTTTCTGTGTGTTCCTTGATGATTGAATATCGCGAGCTATTTCACGCTGCACGAGCGACATGATTCCCAAAGCCAACTCTCTTTCTCTCTCTCTCTCTCTCTCTCTCTCTCTCTCCCCCCCTCTTAATCTTTCTTTTTCAATGGGTGCTAATTTACGTCGAGGTTTTCGTAGCCGGCCTCGGAAAATCCGCGGTAAATCGAAAAGCGCGATAAAAAGGCCGCGCGGGCGAGAAATTAATCGTTGCCTGGAAGGTCTCGGACGTGTTAGATGATGAATTAAAAGGATTTCTATCTCCACCTATGGGTGAGATCGTTATACAGTGGGCCAACAACTAATTACGGATTACAGCACCTAAATCAATCGCCAGAGCGCTGCGCGAGGTATAATACAAATGAAGAATTGCGATAAACGGATAAAGAAAAGATAACAGCACCGCGGCCAATATTCTGCTGTCGGTTTAACTTTGTATTAAAACGTGATTTATCAATTGTTAATTATATCCATCTATACATAGAAATATATGCGATATATTCTAGATTCAGATTTTATTTAGATGCAAACCAGATGTTACTCATGTTAAGCTGTTAGCTAATAAAAAATCTCATACATTGTTAATCCTCCGCCGGTAATATTGGATTTTAAAAGCACGGTCGATTATTTATTGTAAATTTAAATCTGTAAAAAATGAGTAAAATATAATCCAACTTATACGACAGTAAAAACTTAAAGCTTTCCCAAATAATATGTAAGAATTTTTTACAGATTTTTATACAGAACAATATAAAAATCTGTATTGAAGTTTGAAAACCCAAGTTGCGAACGAAGGGTGAAAATTTCACATTGTCGGAGGATTGAATTTATAGTATCAAATTACACCTAATTTAAGTTATCATTTCTACAGATCGCCACTGCTCCTCAATTCTATATGTCGTTATATTTAACTGAAACAATGGAATTAAACAATTTAATTCAGAGAAATCACAAATATAAGATTTAAATTAAATTTATTATTTACTAACAAGTGCACACGTTAATATGGACGTTGTTTATTTTGAAATGGATTTACAGAAATGGATTGTTTTACGTTTTGGCGTACTTGAAAGTTAAAAATAACAAAATGTTATTTAACTCAAGAATTATCATTGCTTTTTTATAAAATAACAAAATATTATTTAACTCAAGAATTATTATTGCTTTTTTAATATCTAAAAGTGTATAAATTAATAAAATAGAACGTTTTTAAACTTTTTTTCATGGAACATACGCAAATATAAATATAACGGATATACTGAGAGAAAAAAAATTTGTTGCGATTACTATAATTTAACTACAATTTATAGTCGTTTTCGGTGCTAACTATATATTTTTTGTAGAATTATAAATATATGACTACTATAACATTATAGTAATAATAACTATATTAATGAAGCTTCTATAACCATAATTATTTTACCATACAATTATAATCACAAATACCAAACATTTTTCTCTCAGTCGATAAGATTATTTTCTTGAATGACGTGTTTAAAAAGTTACAAAAAGAGATTTCCTGTTTCTTTGTTTTCAGGGGACATCGTCCACTGCTCGGGAGCGAGAGACGCAAATCAGCTGGTATGTCAAATAATCAGCTGGTTGACTCCTGTCTGTAAGTGTCTTTCTCTATGTTAAAATAAACTGTCGATAGAGACTGCGGCAAAATTCTCATACGCTTCTCCGATTATCGTGTAAAGAAACTAATAACATTTGTGTAGCCCGGAATATCACTCGACTTCCAATTCATTCATTATCATCGAATACGTTGATCTTCCATAACCATTGCACTTTTTACATATCGAGCAGCTCTCGTTCTTCGACAATTTTTTCAAATCGACAATCTTTAAAAATCGATAATCTTTAAAAATTTGCAGCCCCTTATTTCGCAGTAAACTCTGCGAGTAATTCACGAGGCATTTTCTCGAGCTCTTGTAGTAAATTCAACTCCAGTCTTACTCCCTGACGACTTTGACGTTAACTTTCCTTTGCGATAATTCAGGCATAATTACAAAGTTACTTGACGTGAAGGATTAAAAAGGTTTCGGCGCTTTAAGCCTCGGGATAGTAAATAAACAACAAGGCCACGTTTCCTCCGTGGATTTCCAGCGAACTCTGCTTCAAGTTGCCTCGATTCGAACTTACCGGCTCCCTCCATATTTAAATATCGCGATCGTTTAAAAAGTCCCCGAGGCCGCACGATGTTGCGTCTCCGGCGAAAAAGACAATTACAATGACACTAGAGTCCCTATTCTGTAACGACAGTAGTATCGTTGCATTGTCGTTGTATGCATCATACATTATTAAAAAAGACTGTGCAACACGACAATATAACGATATCGACTGTCGTTTAGGTCTGGTTTTTCATTTTTTGGTTAACTTGTGGTTTAGAATTAATCACACTTTGGTGATAATGTAAAAATTGTATTTCTCAAGCTATGATTAGTTATTATTTCTAATTATTATATCCAAATCCAACACATTTTAAGTTGAAGATATGTAACAAAGCTTTCATATACCTCTTTAATGATAATTTATTTTAATTTATCAAATCAATAACACTTCATCTTTGCCAATTTGTGAGTGACTTATTCATTATGGATATGTGAGCTATTCATTCTATTGTAATGTTACTTTGCTGAGGAGGATTCCAAAGAGAGTTGAAACGTTCGAATCAAATGAAGAAGACACGATTCCAACTTCTGAGTATTAATTATTCACTAAGAAATTGCGCCGGTTATCTGTGCTGACTCTCACTAGCCTACTTTTATTTATTTTTATATTGTTTAGAATTCGAGAGTCCCGTTGTAATTATTATTGTATTAATTACTAAACTGATGATTTTGTAAAAATTATTCACTACAAAACCATCAATTTAGTGATTTTTCTATGGTTAATCAATAAACTGATGATTTTGTAGCGGTAACTTTAAAAGTTACTCACTGCAGAATCATCAGTTTAATGATTTTTCTAGTTAAATATAGATATGATTAATCATTAAGCTGATAGTTTCGTAGTGATGATTTTGAAAGTTACTCATTATAAAATTATCAATTTAGTGATTGATCATAGCTAGAAAAATATCATTTTTACGATAAGGAAATAATATAAGGCTTAAAATTAAAAATCAAACTAAAAAATTACAAAGACTGCGAACCAAAGCTAGTTATTCGCTAGAATTAATACTCTTTAATTATAAACGACAAACGTTTCAACCTACATTTGGTCATTCTCAATGTAACATGATATGAAATTCAATAACGATTATAAATTTAAAATTTTGAATCAGGTGTGGTTCTCAAGCGTGATAAAATAAGAATCGAAGGTAGTAATGTAAAATTAATGATAATGTTCGAACACTCTTACAGAATCACATTGTTACTGTAACACGCTCGCACAATTTTTACATTATTATCAGGTTGAATCTATACTCACAAGTTAAATGAAAAACCCGCGTCTTGAGAGTTATAAAATAGGGGCTTGGATCCCGAAAGTAAACAATGAGAGCGAACAATTTTAATAATTCTGCGAATAATCAACCATTAGGCTGGTGAATCGCCGGATTGAGCAGAGACAGGAGCACAACATAACTCGCACTGAGATCACGCAGAGGTGACTAACATGCATTAATCATGCGATTACTCACGCCGAAACTCGAGAACGTACGGTCAATTTTATCCCGCGGACTGATCAACGAAACGAATTCTTCGTGCGAATTCTCTCCGCTGTCGCTACAAAACGGCGATTAACACGTATGTAATCTTATTAAGCCGCAATTGGAATAATAAGGTCGTACAAAGGATGTCAATTTGCGGATCGCGAAGCAGCTGTTATCGTCACGAGGATCTCCACGAGGACGACACGAGAATTTCATCGCGCGCGTAAAGCGTTACGAGCGCATTCTAAATTGCAGCGCGACCTTAATTAGCGCTAATTGACCTGGCATTGTCGTGTAATTTCTAATTCGTTAAACCCGCTAAGACGTACGTTAACGCTTTCGGAGTGAGTGACACCGCCGCATCATCGACGAGCATTTTTGCACAATCGTTTAGCATGACCGCAGTGAACGCGGCCGAGGAGAAGGATGCTCCGTTGCAAATTAGCAGCATTCTCCTCGAGATCATCCGTCACGCCTATATAGCTGGTGCCTGCATTCCCTCGTGTTGTTTTCGTACTTGGTTTGCTTTTCATTACGCACGAAATGTTGCTCGTCGCCGCACAGACGATTTTCGTGGAATTTACGGTATAATTTGCGTACTCTTCGATCGATTCTTTGCGGAAAGTATGATTTGTAAAAGTAGCTAATTGTAGTAATTTTTACTGATATCTATTTTTACCAATACTGAGAGAAAAATTTTTGAATTTGTAACTATAATTATAATTACTTATACTATAGCAGTAATATAATCGTACAGTAACGTGTAATTATACACGGAGAGAATTTTTTCTTAAAGTTTATCCTGAAAATATGATAGTCGTGGGACAACATTGTATTTATTTAAGAATTTTAATGTAAATCTCTCAGTTATTAATAAAATTACAATAAAGTATAAAATAAGTTTGATCAATTTTACTGAAGTGCATAGTAAAAATCTTTAAAATATTGTATTGTACCATAACTACCATATTTTCGGAATAAATTTTAAAACAAGTGGTAGTTACAAATACCAAAAATTTTTCTCTCAGTGTGTATAAACTTTTAACCTCGGTTTAATTCATTCTTTATCTTTTTCCAATTCTTACAAGGGAAGGAACAGAAATGGAAATACGCTTTCAAAATGTGATTTGTTGCAAATAAAAATGAGAGTGACCTAATCTCACAGTAACTTAGTCGGTAAATTACGGTAAATTATAACACTTTAACTCATATATTTTCATTTATATTTTTTCTATAAAATATAAATGAAAATATATGAGTTAAAGTGTTATAATTTACCGTAATTTACCGACTAAATTACTGTGAGATTAGGTCACTCTCATTTTTATTTGCAACAAATCACATTTTGAAATATGTAACATGTAGTTAATTAGGAAACTAAGTATATAGAAACTAAAGAAACTTCAAAAAATTTTAATCATACTATGTACAGAAATTTATCTTATTCTGATTAAAATGAACTTATTCTGTAACTTTTAACGACTGTAACGATATCGTTACATTATCTTTGCGCAACTTTTTTACCATGTATAAAACCTGTGCAACGACAATGTAATATCCTTACAGTCTTTAAAAATTACAGAATAGTTATCCTTAGTTTTAACATTATGTACTTTTCGAGTAGATTATACATGAGGAGTCTTCATTGAGGATAACAAACCAGCAAGACTTCAATGATAACAAAGCTTGTTTTCGAATGTAGTTCTATCAACTCATGAGAGTAGATTTAATGAGATGAATGTTGTTTGATCTTTTGCATTAGTGCGGAAATCATGTACGCAGTTATTTGTGCTTATAAAATTATAAAAAACAACAAATTTTATCAAAGTTACCAATAAATTATCATGTTACCGTAATTTGATTGAGTAATCGCCGCATTGAACATCTGGCAGAATTTTACATCTCTAGTTGCAAAATATAGTTCTTCATGCTCATATTAAGAATGTCAAACTTTAGTTTCAAACACGTAGGTTTTTTTTCAAAGATAAATAATAAATATAGCAACTTCGATGTTATCGGATCGATTAATCACTTAGGCAGGATAATAGCTTTCAGTTAAAAAAAAGAAAAAAATTTAAGTATTACAATGTTTCAGGACTAATCGACTTTCATTTAATGCACGTTATAAATACAGTTCGGATTAATGCGAATCCGAGTACAACTACTGCATTGTCGAGGTGGTGATGAAAACGCATTAATCCGAACTGTATTTATATCATCTATAATGCATTGGAAAAAAGTCAATTGATTCTAGAACACCGCAACATTTATAACTTTTTTCCTCTTCCTGACGTCTATTATCTTACCAAGTAATTAATCGATATACAATGATTTTAACATTTTTATATTTATTGCTTATAAATTTTATAATATATTATTATTTGAAAAAAAACTAAGGGGTGTCTGAAGTTAAAGTTTGAGATTGTTAATATGAGCACAATGGACTATTTTTTGCAACAAACCGCATTTGCAACAAAAGCGCCTCGGTCTACGTCAACTAAAAGTAACTTAATATCAATGTTATAATTTCACACTCAATAATGTAACTGTTACATAACACCACGTGTTATATTACTTTTAGTTTGTGTCGACTGGGGCGTTTCCACTTCTGGTTGTCCCCTTGACAGAACTAGAGAGAAATAAAAAAGTAAATTAAACCGAGATATTAAAGTTAATCTACATTGTAAAAAAGATATTTCTTGAAAAGATTATTCTTGATTTAATATCAATTAATCCCTCTAATTAATAGTAATCAATTATCTATTTGAATGAAACTTAAAATGGGTCGTAGTAAAACTCCGCCAAGGAGAGATCAATCCTGAATCGATCGAAAAATACGGCTGCAAGTTCGATAACCTGTTTCATATTATTCTCTTGTATGTGTTGCGTGTGCTACATTCCGCGATCAGTTATAGATTATTATTTCAAACATGAATGAAATACCGCCGCAAAATTACTACTTCGACTGTCATGTCATATCTGAGTGATGTGTGAGTTTCCGCAAGAGCTCTATCATTCATTTGAAACGGTTTCACCCAGTTAAAATGATTTCACGAAATATAAAAAAATTACATGTAAATTATATTACATTAAGACATTTAAAAAGAACAATAAAATATAAAAATTTCATACTAGATTTAAAAACAGAATGATTCATTTTTTAATTTCTTTTTTTATACTTGTATCTATTTCAATCAAAAAAAGATCTATTATTTCGGTTTGTGAATGTTAGTTTTTATAAATATATCTATATATTTATATTTATTATATATTTAATATAATTTCAGAGGATGTAAATAAAAACTATCATTCACAAACCGAAATAATAGATCTTTTTTTGATTGAAATAAATATACATTGATATATAGATTTCATATTTATTTTTTATTTATTGCTTTTTTATTTATTTTGTAATCTAACTCATATTTTATAAACGATCGCGCACTTTTCGACTTTGGACCTTCGAGAGCTCAACGTCAATATCAGCTTGACAGTCAAAGTGTAACAGTATCCTTGTTTCAAAAAATAAATAATATGCAGTAGAATTTAGTTTCATGTATTGTAAAATATCAGCTATCGTAAAGTATTTCCCTCTTTCTCTTTCACTTTCTTCCTCGCTTTCTTCTAACTTCCTTCTCTTAAACAATACATTGGTATATTTTATAGAGCATTTCCTCGCATTCTGTAAAATGTATAACAAGTCTAAAAGAGAAACGTTCGTTTTCAGACGCGTCCTACAGGAGAAAGCCCCCGACATGCCGCAATACACGTAAGCTCACTATAGTAATTTACGATATCACGCAACGCCACATACGCACTTCCGTCGATCTCACATTTCTCTGATTCACCTGCCGTAGCGGACAGGGCGACACGGATTATCATGGGAGTAACGGACAGGCCGATACCCACTCGTTGCACTCGTCTCATCTGTCCGTCCAGGAGGATCCGCTGCTTATCCGGACCCACAAGCAACAGACTTCTCAGCAAGTGAGACTGACTCTCGCCGATATTTCTCGACCGATATTTCACGCGCTACTCGTTCTTTCAAAAGTTCACTCACCCTTCGTTGTCGCCAAGTTACAAGAACGACTTCACGATCAGTAGAGCGGCATTGAAAGACATTTTAAATTCTTTGTTATATTTATTATATTTATTATTAGATGTTTGTTATGTTTTTTTAATAATTTTTATACACAGGATTGTCACAAATTCCTCATCCTACATTCAGAAAAAAATATTGTTGATATGTGACCAATCTCAACTTTTTAATTAGGGCAACAAAAAAGTTGAAGTTAGTCACATATCAACAAAACTTTTTTCTGAGTGTAAAATTCCATAACTTTTCCCTGACTTCCAATAATTTTGAAATTTCTAGTATTTTCGTCCTGATTTGGAAACCGTGAAAGCATTTTTTTTTTTTCAGAAAATTAACATTTATGATATGTTAAATTAACACATATTTCATTCATTTGTTGTAGAATTTACGTTTTAAAATACATTATTTTTATGTACTTGTTCACTTACTCATAAATTGTGTCATTTTGACACTAAGAAACATTGAATATCAATTTCATAAAAAATTTTTACATAACATAATCACATTATGTTAAATTAACACTCGAAATTGTTAAAAAATTCTATACAAACTGTTAACACAAACGTGAGTGGACCGTTTCCAACACAAATACACACTTTTTTTACTGTGATCCGTTATATTTTGTACAGCATTTTATTTATCGTATTCATGTTACAAACATATTTGTTAAGAGAAATTTTTTTATTCGAGCACACCGATATCTGTCTCTAATTCTCTATTCTTAAACGTATATCTACATTGAAAAAAGTGAATTTGCTCGGTTAATTTTATCTGAAATCACCGGAACTTTTGTCGCGCTCCATTTCGAAAATCCAATCCTGCCGTCGATGTCGATATAATCGCATTACGTAGAACGCGCGAACGCGGGTATTAACGTACATGTCGCGCGGCGAAAATCCTGTTGTGAGTGAACACGCGCGAAAAAGAGAGGTACGAGATTGTGTGACGGCGCGCTTCCTTCCTTCAGGTGACAACTGTGACGAAAGTCGTGCGTGAGGTTTCCCACATGGAGCCGGATCCGGGCGCGGTCAGTTACATGTCAGTGCCGTTAATGTCGCAAGACTATCAGCACGCGGACCCGCGTTACCCCGCGGACCCGTACATGGTCAGCTTCGACCATTACGACCCGTACCTGGGCTACCCGCCACAGCCAGGATACCCGGGACCTCATGGCATCTACATGCCACGCTCGCATTCTCCCCACAGCCCTCACAGCCCGTCGGAACACAGTCGTGCTTCGCCGCCACACGGTACGTAACTATCAGTCACCTCTTCTCATTCTCCGATCTGATATCACTTTCAGCTGTCGTAAACAACACTGTCAGTGACAAATTTATCCATGAGAAAATTGAGCGAATATATTTATTGTAATATAATACCGCTTTTTAATTTTAAATTTTTACTTCATGAAATATATCCAACAAATTTTTATACGTTAATATAAATATATGTAAGTATATAAACTTGGATGAAATATTAAATTGAATTTAATATATAATTTATTGTAATGTACTGAGAAAAAAGTTTTGTTGTTATGTGACCAACTTCAACTTTTTTGTTGTCCTAAATGTTAGGATAATCAAATTTTTGGACAACAAAAAGTTAAGGCTAATCACATATTAATAAAACTTTTTTTTGAGTGTACAATACAAGTTTATAAATAATTTATACATACATATGTATATATATGTATATATATTATATATATAAAAGATGATCTAAAAGTTTAAAATTTGCAAGTGATATACTATAATATATAAAATATTAACATTTATCAATTTGTGCTTTGCACTCTTGGCTAAGGCTGTATATTAAATTCAATTTAATGAAAATCTTGCGTTTCGCGGGTTTTCTCCGTGTCCAGATTCACTTTTCTCCCTTGCAGTCAAGGTACCCATACTGGATATCAGGCTGCTTCTCGCCCTGATGAAGTGGACTGCAAGGTTCACAAAACGTTGGCATTCCAAGAATGGATCTGGACACGGAGAAAACCCGCGAAACGCATGATTTTCATATAGGAAGCACCCGTGGAAGTCTCAAGAATAAATTCAATTTAATATACTATTAAATAAGATTATATATATATAGATATATATATTTTTTTTTCAAAATTTATTCATATTGTATATATACATACAGGGGATGGACAAAATAATATGAACACCTTGGAAGTACACATTACTTGTTTTAATAAATAAAAGATTGATCCTCATTCGCCTTTAATACTTACTTTAAAATCACTGTTTTCCAAAATTCCTCTGTTCTTCAAAACTCCAACATTTTTCTCAGCCAGATTTAAACATCACTTGATTTAACATCACCGAATTATTGTCAGCTTTGGAGAGTAAAATACGAAATAAATTTCTTTCTCCAACATCTTTTAAACAAGTGGAAGATGTTCTTAGAAGAATGGTATAACATTGCATTGAACTATTTGAGCATTGTCTTCTAAAATAAATGAAGTTTGTATTAAAGACAAATAATAGGTCGACCTATTAATGAGAAACAAATACTTTCCAGGTTTCCCCTTTCACATTATTTTGTCTACCTCCTATAAATAAGGCAATCTAAAAGTTTAAAATTAGCATTAGTATTACAAAAATAAATGATAATTTCTAAGCAAAACTTTTCCTCCGCGCTGAGGGAGATTATTAAATGTAACGTGTTTCGAAGACGTTACCTTATTTCTACGACGTCTCGAGGGAGAGACGGCGCACCAAGTGAATCTTCGATAACAACATAAACACGGTGATCTGTTTTCCACAGAGTACATGCGCAAGGGTGCACCCTACGTGGAGGGTAGCTATAACGACATCGACCCCGGCTTAAACCCCGCTTTGCAGGACCATTATCGCATTACTCCAAGTCCAGGTGGTCCCGGGGATCAGTATGGTAGGTGGACCAGACTGCAACAAGTGCGATCCGAGAAGGTCTCGTGTTCGCCAGGGCGGCTGGCAAATTCGATTTTAGCGCGCCGTTCACCCGGGCGTTCACGCGACCGCGATCAGATCGTGTCACGTGGGAAAAAAACCTCGTACTACGAGAATACCGCATAACTCACTTCGATTATCTCCCGAACGTTACTTCACGTTCGTTCGAGATCGAATCGGCAGCACGCGGAATATGGATGGCTCCAGTGAGCCCTCTCAACATCTTCTTCATGGTGGAGGTTACATTCACCATTTATCTAACTTGTGTCCCTCCGGTCTCCTTTTCTCCCTCCATTTGTTAAACGACTTCTTTAATATCTAAACGCGGATTAATATTCTCTCCTCCTGAACTTTCGTTTGTAACTTTATGTGACTTATTAAGGGCTACGTTCGGGTTCCCGAATGCTTTCTACATTGTTAGATATTAAAAGAACAGTGGTAACTCAATCCCTTGAGTTAAATAACATTTTGTTATTTTTAACTTCCATGTAGATTAAAATCAATTCATTTCTGTAGTTTCAAAGTAAATATTATTAACGCACTGAGTAAATAATAAACTAAATTTAAGTCAAATTTAATACAATTTTTTTAATTAAATTGTTTAACGTCATTGTTTTAATTAAATTAACAACATATTGTGTAGGAATAGTGGTGACCTATAGAAATAATTAAAAACAATTCAAATTGGGTATAATTTGACATTATGAATTTAACAGTGTAGTTACAAATGTAGGTGATACTACACTGTTAAATTCATAATATCAAATACCATTTCATCCTTGCTTAACATTCCGGGAATAAAAAAAGAATAAAATGATCTCGGATGTTTTTTATTGTATAATATCAGCTAAAAGTAGCTAAAAAAGCCAATATCAGTAGAAAGATTTTTTTCATAAATACCTCCTGAGACCAACTACAAAAAATAAAACAAATTATTTAGCATTTAATGGCTTTTGCAGTGCAATTACCATACTTTGCTGCAGAATTAGGTAAATAACTTTTAAACTTTTAACCGAGTAAGTGAATTTAAATGAACTTTTGCAAGAATATTTATTAGTTTTATTAGTATACATGAAAAATTTGATTGAATTCGTAATGCTGTTTCCTCATTAAATTTGCAAATAAGTATTGCACGTGATTTTATATAAGAATCAAGGCAAGCAAAAAAATTAAATAACTTTTAAGCCAATAAGAGAATTGTTTGTTTAAATTTTAGACAATAATAATAGAATAATCTATGAAATTTTTATATTTTTGGTAATCCTTCAAGTCGTAACATATCCTTAAAGCTATCTATTTTCTATTAAATGCGATTGAAAAATGACGTTATCTTCTTTCTATGATCGTTACGTAAAGTTGGACAGACGTTGCACGTACAAGAGACTTAATTTAATCTGCCACGTAATACGACATAAAATTATATTTTAATTCTGACCCGTGATATAATTTTCCCTGAATTTAATTCGAAACCACATTGCTTCTTTTTTTTTCAATGTCCGTTTCGTTTCTGAAATTAAATGAAACATTAATATATCCGTGAAATAGAAAGTATAAAATTAAAATTAATAATTGTTATAAATTGTCATAAATTGCAATTAAAATTAATAATTGTCATAAGTAACTAAAAATTTTGGATATCAATGATTAACGGTATTCGTATTACACGTCGTATTTCCAATAATTTATACGATATGTTGTTTTTCAAAGTAATATGTATGTCTCTTGGATAACATTAATATCTTCGAATCTCGAAGTGCGAAGATAAGCAGTTATCGATGGAGATAAACGTAAGTGAATTATGCGCTTTCGAGAGTGAGACTCTCCTTGGACGGCAACTTCGATAAAAACAATATTAGATCATAACCAAGATTAATCGATGGCCTTTTCCGTTGCAGATGAGAGTAAAGTGGCCTATGGCTACGTATCGCCGTCGCCGTACGGGCCTGTGGGGTACGTGCCTGCCGTGGGGGTCGGACCGGTGCCGAGCGACGTGCCCGGCTACGAAGAAGGCCACCCGGGAGTGCCTCTCACGTCGGCTGTGCCACCCGGTATCTTCGAGGACGAGGTGCACCTTCAACGGCTGCAATCGCGTCATCCGGTGGTGCCCGGTATGGCGAGCCCACTCGACGACGAGCAGAAGTCCATGCGCTGGCGGGACCCGAATCTCTCCGAGGTGATCGGCTTCCTGAGCAACCCCAACAATATAATCAAGGCGAACGCGGCCGCGTATCTGCAGCACCTTTGCTATATGGATGACCCAAATAAGCAGAAGACGCGTAGCCTTGGTGGCATACCGCCGCTGGTGCAGCTGCTGGACCACGACAATCCAGACGTGTATAGGAACGCGTGCGGCGCGCTGCGGAATCTGTCGTATGGACGACAGAATGACGAGAACAAGCGCGCAATCAAGAATGCGGGTGGCGTGCCGTCCTTGATCAACCTGCTGCGACGGACGTCCGATGCGGAAGTCAAGGAGCTTGTCACGGGAGTGCTGTGGAACTTGTCTTCGTGCGAAGTGAGTGGTCCCTCGAAGTGTGTTCTTTCATCACGCGATTAGGAAAATTAGAAAAAAGAGATGCTTTTCGTGCTCTTCTATTTGTTTACATAGGGCGTTTCTTAGGTACTGTCTAATATTTTAGTTGATTTTTGAAATCATTTTATGAAGAAAAATTCATATATCATTTTAAACTTCAAAAGACCCATTTCTGATACAGAATGTTAAAAGTGTTCAATAAATAAGATTATCGTTCTTTCACTGTTAAATTATACCTATATAATTTGAATTATTTTTAATCATTCCTATAGGTCGAACTATTTCTACTCAATATGTCGTTAATTTAATTAAAACAATAGAGTTAAACAATTTAATTCAAGAAATGCATTCAGTTTGACCTAAATTTAGTTATTTGTCATTTACTAATTCTTACATTAACATGGACGTTGTTTACTTTAAAACTAAGCAATTTAATCATAGAAATGGATTTACATTTTAACGTACTTGGAAGTTAAAAATAACAAAATATTGTTTAACTCAAGAAATTGAGTTACCATTGCTCTTTTGATATCTAATAGTTCTTTTGACTTCCGCTAACTTTTAACACGCGATTTCAGGACCTGAAGAGGTCGATCATCGACGATGGCGTGACGATGGTGGTGAGCAATATAATAATACCTCACAGCGGCTGGGACCCGAGCTCGTCGAGCGGCGAGACTTGCTGGTCCACCGTGTTCAGAAACGCGTCCGGTGTGCTGAGAAACGTATCGAGCGCGGGCGAATACGCACGGAAGAACCTGCGCGAGTGCGAGGGCCTGGTGGATGCGCTGCTTTACGTCGTGCGTTCCGCGATTGAAAAGTCCAACATCGGCAACAAGATCGTCGAGAACTGCGTGTGCATCCTGAGGAACCTGAGCTACCGTTGCCAGGAGGTGGAAGACCCTAATTACGACAAGCACCCGATCCAGTCCACGGTGCAGAACAGAGTCACCGCGCCCGCGAAAGGTGAGCCCAGGAAGTGCAGTAGGGGAACTTATTTGAAGGAGTCGATGCGCGACAGCAGTCTATATTTCTTTTCTTTCTACCTTCTTCGAGAAGGAAGGAAAGAAAAAACTCGAGAAAATTAATCCAACTTTAATTCAAATTTAAGCTGCACTTTTAATCTGATCGAAAGATATAAAAGTAGAATTGTTACGCATACAAAAATCCTAGTTATAATTTATTAGATCTACTTTATTTATAATTTATTTTCACTTCTTTTTTTGTTTTTTTTTATCACAACTTAATTAACACATAAAACCATGGTAAAAAATCTCGCATCAGAGGTTTTAATTTTACTACAAACATGGAAATTGTGGAACGCGAGACGCATTTTTACATCCTTCAGTCAGATTAAACTTAATTAATTTAAATTAATTTAATTAAATTAATTATATATATGTATATATGTTAATAAAAAGTAATTTTCTCACATGTTCTTGAAGAATTGGACCGCGCTAGATCCCTCGTATCGAGAGTGACGCGTTTGCGAAGACAAACGTGCAATCGTGAAATTGTTCTATAATAAAAGTACAATAAATTTGCATAGATAACCGTGAACGTGCAACGTAGTATTTAATGGTGTACTTTACGGGGAAAAATAAATTGCGAAGATAGAGGGATATCTCGAGCGTTGCTTTTGGAACAAGTATGTTTTCCCGCAACATGCACGAGTCTCCCTCGGTATGCATGTAGCTGCAGTCAGAGCGTGCGTGTTTGTGTGAGTGTTGTGTGTGTAAAGATTGGGAGGGACAAGTGAGGAGAGGAGGTAAATGATTCGCCCCTTAAACCAACCATGAAATTAGATCGGAGGGGACATGCAGCTTCCCTGTTGCAGACACTCTTCCATTGTCGCAAAACTATCGCGACGACGGCCTTTAAAAACAGTTAATTATCTCGCGCTAAATTCAGACAAAACAATTCGTCGAGATCTCTTATTTGAGCACACGTTCATATTTCTTTTTTCACTGTCGAGTTTGATTCGATTTTTTAAATCGCATCGTCGCGCGAGCGTTCGGATTTTTTATTCCATAAAAACCATCCGAGATATTTACGTGCGAGTTGTTGAAATATTTACGATTATATTTACTCGAAATAAGTAACATTGGCCCGAATGAAATTGTATCATTAATTCTCCCACTCGCGTTTCATGGACACGAAGCCCGCTGATATTTTACGGGCGCGTAGTTGGTAGTTTGTAGATAGTTAGTTTACGTAGCGTATTAAATTTGATTAAAACTTCCGGGCCGGTTTACCGAGGTGAGGTAGCGCGAGGACGAAATTTGTATCGCTCCGTAAACCGTAAATAACGCACTTAGAAAAGTGGCGATAGCAAAACGTTGCAATTAAGGGTAGATGGTTTGCTGTAGATAGACAACTGTACTCACAATCTCCTTCCACAATTAATTCATCCCAGACTGTCCTTGGTTTCGATTTAATTTGCCTTTTACTGGTTTCAAGATGGATGTATGTAGGTATACAGTGTGTCCAGAAATCGTTCCCTAACTTCAAATGTGACACAACTAAAAAAAAATTTTCGAGTTATTATCAAGAATGAAGTAAATACTACCTAAATTTTTTAGAGTGGAATTTCACTTTAAAGAGTGAAAAATGAGCTCGACTAAAAAAACAGTTCAATTTTCAATCTTTAAAAAGTGAGATTTCACTCTTCAGAAGAGTCAGATTCACTCTGAAAGTTTTAAAGAGTAAAGATTACTCTATCAATCATCAAAGTAAACTAACTTAACTTCACAGTCCGTCCGCCAAATAACTTGTGTTGTTCTTCAGGTTTTTAAAGAGATCATAATATCTTCTATAAGAGTGATACATTTGAGTTGTGTCATTTTTATAAATAAAAAGAAGATACTTCTACAGAGAACATTTAGAGTTAAGACAGTTTTGATGATCAAAGTTTGAAGTTGAAAACATTTGAAGTTGAAAATATTTCTTATTTTAAATTTAATCATTTTAGCTGATTAAGATAAATATAAACTGTTGGTGATATTTCGAGATAAGAATAATTTGTAGAATATAAAATGTCATAACTCAAAAAAGGTGGTTTAAGGATCGTAAAATGTAAATATCTTGAACGATAAAAATCTTGAATATATTTTTCTTGCCGATATTATTTGATTAGTCGATAATTTTCAAGTTGTAAAGTAATGTTTTCTCTTTTCTAAAAAACTTAATTTTTTGAATTATGTCACTTTTGAAGTAGGGGAACAAAATGTACATACACGACGACGATCCCGTATATCTTTGTATATCTCTGTCTGTACTGATTGAGTTTTCTGTCCTTATTCTCTTTCTCTTTTTCTATTTTAAACAACAGTTAATTATATGTATGTCCTAGTTAAACACTTAAAAGAGTTCTTCCTTCTTTCCGTTCATTTTGGGATTCCGTTGACGAATCACACAGATTTTTTATGAATCCTAGTTCAGCATGGATTAAACTGTGTTTCAATCTTTTTAGCATACAGTTTATGTCAAGGTAAGCCCCCTCTTGCAATTCCATTGGTAAATTAGTTTCCGTTCGAAGACATATAGTTATTGCATGCTTTGCCTTGCCAGATCGTAACTACGTTACATTATATATTGAGTTACCAATTTATATTTTCCCTATAAAAATAATTATTTCTTTTTTCTTTTTATTTGATGCTGTAACCGCTATGTTCTTAAGCGATGATTTACATTTCTGTATAACCTGTTTATATATTTGCAAAATTGACCAAAATTCAGAAACAAAATTGACCGACAAATTCAACGCTGAACAAATTCAGTGAGCTTGTTGTGAAGTTTAGCATATGGTTTACAATTTCGTTTTTAATTTCGTTTATTACGTAGATAAATGGCTCGTTTAATTTATCAGGTTAGTTAGAAAATTTAGAAGTGTGTAACAGGCGCCTTAGGAACACGAATACGCGAGTCGCACTTTTTTCTCGATATCGCTCAATGTTGCTCGATGTTTCACCGAATTTGCTGTTGCAAATATCGCGGAATAAGGAATTTTATAGAAAACGATTCGATAATTGGACACAAATCAATCTGATCCCGAATATCAAGTTAAACTCAATGTGACATTTGCCTCTTTGATTTCTCGTAATATTCCCAATGCGATCCCCGGCGGCTTATTAATATGGATCCTCTGTGATTCTGCTCTAGGTGAGAATCTGGGTTGCTTCGGCGGGAGCAAGAAGAAGAAGGATGGCCAGCCGGTTCAAAAGGAGACCACCGCGTCACGTACGACGAGTCCGCGGACCGAACCAGTCAGAGGAATGGAATTGCTCTGGCAGCCGGAAGTGGTCCAATCGTATCTTAGTCTCCTGCAAACGTGTTCGAATCCGGAAACATTGGAGGCTGCTGCCGGGGCTTTGCAAAATCTCGCGGCTTGCTACTGGCAGCCGAGCATCGAGATTCGCGCGGCCGTACGCAAGGAAAAAGGTCTCCCTATATTAGTGGAGCTCTTGAGAATGGAGGTAATTACATGGTGTCGAACATTTAATTCCACGAACACGCAAAGAGAACCCACGCGATTATAAAATGCGCATGTTAAATTAAATTATAAATTAAATAAACGATTAAACTAATTAGATTATATTTGGACTGCCTCAACAGAATATTATCCAACACTAATCTAATTACTTTACTTGTTTTCTCCATTAGTATAACAGTATGAAGTATTGCTCAAACTGATGCTTGTTCTAATTTCATATGTATATAACAATTTCTGATATCTAATTTTATATCTTATACTTTATGTTCTACTTTTAAAATTCCAATATTTGTAGAATTATTAATGAATAATACATGAATTGTTAATCTTATTGCAATAAATAACAAGGAAATATCTTTTTTAGTTTCCGATATCTATATCTTAAGTTAGTTATATGTATATTTAATAAATATTGATAAGATTAATATTTGTAATTCTGCGAAATGAATAAAATTTAATATTGTGACCACAAACATTAGATTAACGTATTTTCTGCGGCTAGGTGGATCGAGTAGTCTGCGCGGTCGCAACCGCGCTCAGGAACTTGGCGATAGACCAACGCAATAAGGAGCTAATAGGCAAATATGCAATGAGGGATCTCATCCAGAAGTTGCCGTCTGGAAATAATCAGCACGATCAGGGCACAAGCGACGACACGATCGCCGCGGTGCTCGCGACTCTAAACGAGGTCATCAAGAAGAACGCCGAGTTCTCGCGATCGTTGCTCGACGCCGGCGGTGTCGATAGACTGATGAACATCACCAGGCAACGCCAGAAATACACGCCGCGCGTTCTTAAATTTGCAGGTAATATTTCGAAACCGAATTTAAATAATTATCCGTAATATGCATCATGAAAACATCAATAGTCGATTTAATTATATCAATAGATAGAAATTATTCTATTTATGCGTGTTTTTAGGGCAAGTACTGTTCACTATGTGGCAACATCAAGAATTGCGAGACGTGTACAAGAAGCACGGCTGGAAGGAGCAAGACTTTGTAACGAAAACCGTTGCCGCCAGGAATTCAGGGCCTAATTCACCCAACAACGCTAACAGGTAATTATCACTCATAATGGAGCAATAAATAAAATTAGGTACATATAGGATAGCAGCCGCAATAATGGATAATTGGAATATCGAGATGACGACATAATTATCAAATTTAATTAGTATTTATAATTAAAACTTACATTAAGTTAAAAATATAGACAGTAGGACATTTTAAATTAATTTTTTGTTATTATAAGTTAGCTATCTTTCTGTAATTGTAAATGAACTTTATTTCTCTAAGCTTATATTTACAATTCATTAGTACAAATATCGAAAATATAAAGAATTAATACATTATCGTCATTAAATTAAGTTTATTTACTTTTTCTAAGTATTTTATTATTTTCTGGTAGTTTTATTTTTAGGACTCCGTTTATTTTTTGTTTATGATTTATTCGTTTTGTCGTGTGAATTCACTTAGTTCGCGGTATTTACTGCGGAGTCCTCGCTCTTTTCTCTCGGGCAACTCGATTCTACGTTAAAATGCAGCTACGATTGCAGCACTCTGAATCGACCGATGGCAAGCCAGGGAAGCACAAGATACGAGGATCGAACGATCCAGCGAGCGAACATGAATTCGAATAATGTCGGTCGACCTACTATATATCAATCAGTAAGTAATAATAACTAACAGCATCACTAAAATAAATATACGCCGCGTAGATACACACCATAGGATGAGAAAAGCGTACTCGAAGCGTAGGAAAAGAAATCACACGTGCACATTATATATGCAATCTGAGTCGTCGGTCTTACGAAAAAATTCACTAATATTTAGTAAATAAGAAAAACACAACGATTTTTGAAAAATAACTATAAAAAATCTCACTTTTTTAAATGTGGAATCACATTTAATAGTACCGCAGATTTACACGAATTTTTCTACATTTTTTATATTTATATTTCACTCTATGTGTACTTATTATTAAATTCGATCGTTATTGATTCACTACAAATTATTTAATGTGATAAGAAAAGTAATTAAAAATTTACTAATTTCATCACTTCTTTCATAAGACCGACGAAATATTTCGTCCTATTAATCTCAATTATTCGTTGCCATGATAATTTTTTTAATATTCGCGTCGTTATACAGAATAGAATTTAAGAATAGTCTCTCGACATGACTTCCTTGAACACACCAGATGGATCGTATATCAATAAATAATTATATTTAACTTTGTAGTTAGTGTTTACTTAGGCTCGCAAAGTGATTCAAACGCGACACAGTTATGTACCTAGGACGATCGACGCAACTTTTGGCGCAAACGATTGTGCCAAAAAGAACAAACATCACTCCGTAACTTTTAATCGAACATACACATTGTAATTTGCGTGATGAAACGTACACGATCGAATTGCATGATTTATGATTGTCTTCCTACAGTTTGGGTGATCTTGTAAGATTTCCATTTTTATCGCGCTTTTCGTAAGGTAGATGCAACAGAAAATTGTATGCATTAGAACGTTTTCCAAATTCGAACGAACATTTCTAATAAATGTTACTATGTCGAGTTAAAGGTTAAAATTAGTCGCCATATGTAATGTCGTGTTCATTAATGCGAATCTGGTTGTACAAGAATACACATAAATGTTCACACAACGTTCACGCGAATTAACGCACGAGACCGGACCAAACTCTCACCTTTTAATAACGCCGCGTAACTACTTCCTAAATCCTGAAACTTTTTGCACGGTTTTCATAACGATTTTCCAACTTGCTAATTAATTTAACTAACCGCGTGAGAGGAGGATCTCTAACGCGAAATGTAATCTTAGGAACGCACCGAGCAGTGTTGCTACTAACGACTTTAGGTCTAAGCGAGAATACTCGAGGTATTCGCATCATATACACTTCTGTCTCCGGAACAACGCACAAATTTACACTAACAATGAAGAGCTACGGCTGACGTGATCACTGCCTAAACGAACACCCTCACACCGTCACCTAACGATGGCAATTATTTTGACTTTTAGCGTACGATGAGAAAGCGGTTTCACATACATACACCGATTGATTATCGAGAAAAAGCATTTGTATCGAGCTAGGAAGCGATTTCGATTTCCTATACATTTTTCCAGTGCCCTGCTAGTTTAGTTATATTTTATTATAGCGAGGTATAACACGCATTTACAACTAAATTATTACGTAGCCTATGTAGTCTATACTGTATACCCGATTTTGTATATAAGCTTAGGAAGTGATTATATTAATCTTGTATACGTAAGTTACAATACACAGAATATAATTATTATGGGTGTTCGCACGCCATATATATACGACGCCGTACTAAATTATTATCCCTTCAGTACGCCGTTCCATGAAAATTTATTTTGATGATAATACCGTCGAATATAAAGCCTAACGGAACATCACGTCAAATTGTTTAGCTTGTTGACGATGTAGGAGTGTAAATTGAAAGATTTTTTATAAGAGAAGATTTCATTTCCGCGTAACGCTAGAACATTCACTACAAAAAGTATGGGTGTAGATTTAACACAATGTGTTTACATAATTCTCATCGTATTGGTGTTATTATAAATGTGAGGATTTTTCATATTATGGGTTTTAAGGATGTATTACATGTATTTTTTTTAATAAAATAAAAAAATTGTGAAAAATTTTCAAATTTTTTTTACATTGTATTTCAAAGTGTACAATAAGTTTGGCGGCGATTTAGAATGACTGGTTTAAAAATTGTTTCAATAAGTAATGTTTTTAAAAAATAAGATAAAACGAGAAAAATTTTATTTAAGTTATAAAATTGTATTTTATATAAATATTAAATATCCTGTCCTTATCGAACTATTTCATATGTATATGTTTATAATATTCATTTTTATACAGGAAGTATAAATTTCTAATTCAGTCACTTTTTGCAGAGACCTACACCTGGTATATCCTTAAATCTACACTGTGTTGGTACAAACACCAACACGGTGAGAATTATATAAACACCGCATGATGTTAAATCCACATTCATATTTTTTTAAGTGTTTGTAAAATCCTATTTCGCATCCCGTGCATAAAAAAGAACCTCCTAGATTAAATACTATTATGTATAATTTTGTAGCACACGTACACACGTACACATCACACACGCGATTTCATGTGCGACTTTATATCATCTGTGTATCTCAGCTACGAATTTACTCACGTCACCGTCGGAATATTTATATTCTGTATTTAGCCGAATACTAAAACGCAATGTAACAAACAGGAACAATTACTTGAAAATATGTATATTAGATAGCCTATATACCTGATTGCAAATAAAGGCCAAACATATCACATCTTTTTCGTGGTTTTGCCTACACATTACAGTGTACTCTCGATTATCCGGAATATAGGGAGTAACTACAAGAAAAGAAACACATAATACAAATCAACATACAATATACAATTTATAGAAACACAGACAAAAATTACAATACAAATAATAATTTATTCGTTATGTAATCTTTTTTTAATAATATACAGCCTTGGTCATAAATATAAAACGCTCTCAATTTATTGCATTTTTTTGAAAAAGGAGATAATAAAATAAAAAGCTAATAAAACACTAAAATTATTGATATAAAAATAAATATTTAGTAATAAAATCATTTTTCAATTTATTTTTCTTTGGATATAGAATGTTCACACAATTTGTGGAGATGTTTAATATTTTTAACCAAAGCTGTATACATATATCGCGTAAAAAGAAATATTTAAAAATTATCTCTACACTAAATATCAGAATAATATTTCATTCAATGCAAGCCGTGATCAGACTAGAGATTGAGATTGAATTTTAACCAACCAGAAGAAAGAAAACCAACCTCAAGTTTAGTGGCTTTTACTTCGATTGGTTAAATTCGAATCCAATTTCAATCTCGGCTTTACTGTTCCATCTACAACATGCAAATGTACGGACGATCGAGGGTACAGTGTGCATAAAATACCACCCCAAAGTGTCTGAGCTTCTTTCAGCGTCTGAAGGGTCGAGGCGCCGCGCGGTTCTCCCCCCACCCTCGCCCACCCCCCTTCGCAAGAGAGACGCGCGACCACCAGTTGGCTAACCGTTGGCTTGTGTGTGTGTTGCAGCAGCCGAAACCCGGTGAGCCGCTCTACGCGCAAGTTAACTTGGAGAAGAAAAAGAAGCGGCAGTACGAGCTGGGGGTGGGCCAGGGTGGCCAGGTGGGTCAGGTCGGTGGCGGCGCCGTGATACCCGGGGGCATAGCTGGACCAGGCGGCGGCGGGGGTGGCCAGTGGGTGCCGGATGGCGTCGGGATGGTACCGGACGGTATCGGCGCCACATCGGTAGCGGCGACGGTGACGAACCAGGTGCCACCGCCGAGCTCGACCGCCGCCGCCGCCGGCGACTCCTGGGTATAACGGGTCCTACAAGCGGGTCCTACGCGGGACCGCCGGGAGGACCTCGCCAGAAATCACGGCCTCGTCGCGTCCCTCCACGGCCGCGTCGAGCGACCGCCGCCTCCGTCTCCGAACCTGTCCATGTAGCGGAGGTGTATAGGAGGGATCCCCCCACTCCGGGATGCGAAGTGACGCCTCCGTAAAATCCCGGAGGATTGAAGGTGTACGAAGGATCGGAGGAAGAGCTTAAAACCTGGGACTCTGCTCGATGTAAGGGACTGCAAGACGAACACCCGTTAATTTATTGGGCACACCCCTTCCGGATTCGCGAAAAATCAAGATTGTCGATTGGTCGTGGTCGAGTTGGCTGGACGTAGGCGAGTTGAGGGAAGCGTTTGTTGCAGGGTATTAAAGCGGGGATATCGAGAATATAGCGATTATATGAAAAACGAGAGAAGTACAGAGATTTGGGGAACCTTGATGGTCTCCCCCCCGAAATAGAAGAACCCGAGTACGCGTTGTACTCGAAATATTGTCGAAAGAGTACGCGCGAAAGTATTATTAAAAATTGGAGAATTACGCGGTTTTTTTTTGGAAGAGCGACGAGACATTACGCTTTATCATTGGAAACAGACGTCCATATTATGATTAGGAAGAATCTCGAGGGAATAACGCAGGAAGTTTAACTACGTCGAGTTAATCGGACGAATGGCAGCTGAACTTAGGGTGATAAAGACAGGCAGCTTTCAAGTTGGAGAACGAGGTGTATATTGATCTATTCGAGATAGAACTATGCACGAAGATGTATATAGAGCTGATTGAAGAACCGACGATTAGACGAACGAGCGTATTGACGGATCGACAAGTGGAAGAATGGAAAAAAAACGGTATCTTTTCCGGTGCTCGCAAGACGATTGAACGGAGAATAGGATTCGAACCGAAGCGGAAGCCGAAGATCAAGCCAGAAGAAACCGACCTCGCTCACCGATTCGCCAGGATAATTCGCGCGAACGATC